ACAGGTTGTTGTTATATTGGCCTCAAACCTTTGTTTGTTTGTTTTGAGACAGGGTCTTACTATGTAGCTCTGGCTGTTCTGGAATTTACTATATAGAGCAAGCTAGCCGCAAACTCAAAGATCTGCCTTCCTCTGCCTCCTAAGTGCTGAGGTGTGAGCCCACATGCTGGGCTGGCCTCAGAGGGTCTTCCTGCCTCAGACTATCAGTAGCTGGATATGTAGATGCATATTACTGTGCCAAGAGTCACCATATAAAATTTAACATGTGGCTATGACACAGGCTGGAGACCTGGTGGGAGAAGAATGAAGAAAGATGTTAGTGAAACAGAGATCCAAGTGGGTGGGACTCCTCATGACCATGGAAAATTCTGCAGCTGAACATAGGTGTGTAGAAGAAAACAGCAGATCTTTTTCTAAATGCCACATTGAATGAGCTCCAGTCCCTGCTCTGCAATCTGCAGCAATTCTCTGCTTACAAACTAAAGAACTCTTTCACTTAATTTTGAAAACATAAGATGTGTCTCTCCTACCTTCTCTCTTCTCCCCTTCTTATTCTGACTCTCTGCCTCTCCAATCAGGCCTGGTTTTAGCTGTATCAAAAGGTCAGAAGGGGAGGAGAGAGATGCGTGAGAGAAATGTCATAGATAGAGGTTACTGAAACTTGGTCTGTGGGATGAGAAGGGATACATAGGAGAAAGTGGGAGAAAGGAATGTTATTATCAGAAATAATGAGCCGGGGTGAGGACCAGTGGATAAGATGACATTGGTTTTGGACATCACAGTTTTGAGGAAATGGTAGAATTTCCTGATAAAGTTGGGTATTATGTTATTGAAAACACTGTTAAGAGCCAAGAGTCACACCCTCTCCGGTGTATTTTGTAGTTAGTCAAAGGCCTGCTGAAATAAAGACCCATCAGCTATAAATCTAACTATCCAACCTCCATATTTAATGGGAAATACAAGTTTTCCTTGAGATCAACATTAGTTATAATAACATTCCCAAATAATTTGTTACCTATACATTTCTGAAAGGTGTGTGTGTGTGTGTGTGTGTGTGTGTGTCTTACTGGAAGTTAGTTCTCTCCTTCCACCATGTGGATCCCAGGAATCTAATTTCAACTGTTAGGCTTGATGGCAAACACCTTTACCTACTGGGCTAGTGCTCCAGCCTAACCTGCACAGTTCCTAAAAGCATTCTGCCTTTTATTAATTCTTTGAGAATTTTATACAAGATATTTTTTTTATCATATTTGCTCCCAACTCCTCTCAGATCCATCCCTACCTTCCTCCTTACCATTTTTTCTTTCTTTTTAAAAATTGAGTTCATCAAGATGAAGTTGTTCTGTCCATATGGTCATTGGTATGTGGTTATCCAAAGGAATATGCTTGACCTACTAGGAACCACAGTTTTAAAGAAGATCGATCATCGATCATCTTTTCCCCAGAAGCCATCAGGGGTCTGTAGCTCCTCAGTTAAGGATGAGACTCACAAAGCCCCCCTACTCCATGCTACAGTGCTGACTGGCTTGTTCTTGTACTCTTCTTGTGCAGACAACTACAGCTGCTGAATTTTATCTTACAACTTTAGGATGTTATTGTTCTGTTCATTTCTTTATTTTAATTGAAAATTGGACTTTTTTATATAATATAGTCTGATCATGGTTTCCCCTCCCTTATTTCCTCCAAGATCTTCCCCAACCATTCAATTCCTTTCTCTATCTCTTTAGAAAACAAACAAACAAACAAATGGGGGCAGGAACCAAAGGAAAAGCACAAGAAACCTGCACATGCAGAGACACATGCAGAAAACCTATAACAACACAAAATCAGAAGCCATAATATATGTGCAAAAGACAAGTAAGGTTAAAAAAAAAAAGCCCAGACAAAACATTATGAGACAAAAAAATGGAGACTAGGATTTAAATCCTGGTTTTCTTATATTTTATTTTTCTAAGGTTTTTCATCACATGGAAGTGACTTTCTTAATTTGCAGGTGGATTGATCATAATGGAAAGAGTGGAGATGGTGGTGGGGCCAGACATTGTGCCAGCAGTGTCTACTGAATTTTAACATGTTCTTGAGTAAAGACGAAACTAATGGACATACATCACAGTATAGAACACAGCATAGAACACAAAGAACCAGCAATGTGGGGCTCACAACTTTCAGGTTCATCATTGCTAGTGGCTTATTTCTCTCCCACATTTCTCTGCTGAGAAAACAGTCTTTGTAAGAAGACAATATTAGTCAAATGAATGGGATTCACAAAGGTGAATAGGTTTCTTCCCTGTCTTCAAAGACTTTACGCACAGGCTAATGATGAAGATAAATGAAGGTCAAATTGGATGAAGTCAGAGTGATGGGAACACAGTAAAGGAGAAGAGGGTTGATATTACAGGAAATTCTGAGCAGACAAGAGAAGTAAGAACTCCACAATCAAAATGACATGGCTCAGCAGTTAAGAGTGCTTACTGCTCTTCTAGAAGATCTGAATCCATTCCAATTACTCACATGGCAGTTCACAACTATCTGTGACTCTAGTTCCAGAAGATCTAATACCCTCTTTTGACTTCCAAACATAAAAATAAAAATAAATAAACAAGATAGAGAAATTAAATAAAAAAAGATGTGCAGTGAGGGGGGTGGGATGTAGCTCAGTTTTTAGAATGTTGGTTTAGCCCTGGGATTGATCTCCAGCATTGCATAAACTGGGCATAATGGTGCACACCATCTTTGTTTACACAGTAAGTTGGAGAAAAGCCTTGATTACATGAGGTCCTGCCTCAAAACAGACAGAGGTACAGTGAGGAAGGACATTGAAGATTGGCCGTCATTTCTGACCCTGTGGGGGTGGGGTGAGAGTTAAGACTAGACTAAAGGTTAGAGTAGTTGGTGAGGTCTACTAGTCTAAAGTTTAGAAATACACTTGCATTCACTAAACTATGCACTGAAAGAGGAGTGAATGCAATTGTGGCCCATTATAGAGGCCACCATCTCAGCGGTCTTGGGAATATTTCAGGCAGGAGGAAGTATAGGGACTAGGGAGAGTGTTTGCAGGCATTGAAAGGAAGCAGGTGATCAGCATTTTTGCGGGATGTGTTTAAGGGGACTGATAAGCAAAAGATGTGTGAAGGGAAGTCAGGGTGACTTTAGCATAGACAACTAGGAAAATGCTAGTAGCTTATAAAACCAGGCAGATGACGTCCCTAAGCCTTGAAGACACCATACATGTTGGTCACAGGACATGGAGCAGTCCAGTCAGTCCAGAAACTGATCAGAAAGCTTCCTTTCTGCTGGCTAGTATTGGAAGGTGCTATGCAGGCTGTAGATGGGGGAAATGTCGTTAACAGTCTTATACATGTATGAACCCTGCAGTAGGAACCTGCATGAGATTAATGCTATATGTGAAGGTCAAGGTCATATGCTTTGGTAACTGCTTTCTGAATGGATTTCAGACCTGCCTCACAGAAGGAAATCTATGCCTGGTACTGCAAATTTAGCTGGGGAGATCACAGGCTCCAGATCCAGTAGTAAACCTGACCTACTATTACTATTCTGCTAAATGGACGAGGCATCAAACTGCCCTCTAAATTTGTATGTCTCCACCCACAGACTGGTGCAGCCTTCAGACCTCATCAGAAGAATTTCTTTGTGCAGTGGTTGACATAGAAACTCACAACTGATCAAAGTGCAGAGAATTAAGTCAATGGAATGCTCAGCCACAAATAGGATGCCTATATCATAACCCCACTCCCAAAGCTCAGGGACCATTACAGACTAGAAAGATTGTAAGAGCCAGAGGTTGAGGAGAACTGGGGCAAAACTGTCTTCTGGACATGACAAGACCTCTGGACTCATGAACTCACAGCAGCTATGGTTGCCTGCAGAGAAGCAAGCCAGTCAACATTCTAGCATGGCATGAGAAAGGGCTAATGGGCTCCTTATCTCTGTGGACAGTTGATGGCATTTAGGGGAAGGAGAATAATTTTTTTTATAACGATGGCCTCACACCCACAAATATCTGGACAGAACAAATTAGAGTTCATAGTTATTACATGACAATAAAAAAGGACATGAAATTGGGATCCAGGGTGGGATGGATCTGGGAGGAGCTAAGGGGAGGAGTTGGAATACATACATTGTCTGAAATAGTTTAAAAAGCAGGTAGATGTTTAATGTTAGGAGATGCTGGGTTGTTTTTGTTGTTGTTGGCTATGTGATGTCTGGGGCTTAAGGGGTAGCTAGGGGAGGTTATTCAGCAGACAGCTGGCCATATGAGGGCGTCCCCCAAAATAATCTAGAGCTACAGATTGGGTATCGGCCATGCAGAAGGCACAGTGATACCACTAGAGGCGATGAGTAAAGGGAAAAGAACACACAAGAGTAGAAGAAAAAAGGAGGCGATGTTGTTGGGTGTGGTGAAGAAGACACTTGGTCAGGACTCCTCATGGTTGACAGGCACTCCTCAGTCTCAGGAAGGGCTGGACAGTGTGTGGCAGCCCCGACCTTCCTCAGTCTTCTTTCCACAAACAGGGAAAGTGAAGCCTAGACAAAAACAGTGAGTAATTCAAGGTCATATACTAGCCTGTTCTAGATCCGTGCTTTTAAACTTCAAACCTAGTACTCAATCTATGCCTCAAGCTGTCTTTTATATTTATTTTAAATCATTTTTTTTCCCTCTTAGAAAGTATTCATTAAAAAAAAAAAAGAATCAGTCCTCCAGCATCTAGAACATCTGAAGTTTTAACAAGTAGGCTAAATGTGCTTCCGAGAGCTTTCTTTTTCTTTTTCTTTTTTTTTCCCCCTGGAGTATTGCGGAGCCTGTCTTGCGGGTGGGAAGACCCCTTAGGCCAAACCCGAGACTGTCTCTCGAGCGCGCGCTCGTAGTAACCGCTGGAGGCCCCGCCCCCCCCGGGCGCGCGCCGCCGTGGCACGTCCGCGCGCTCCCGCCCCCCCCCCCGCGCGCGCCTGCCTGCTGCCCGGTGCGCGCGCAGCGGCGCTCGCTCCCGCCGGGGCAGGGCGGCCGCGGAGCAGCTCGAGAGCCCTGTGGCCGTGACCGCGGGCGGGCCCGTGATCCGGAGCCGGCCGAGCGGGGCCGGAGCCCGCGGCTGGGGGAGGCGCGCCGAGAGCCGGGCGCGAGGCTGCCGCCCGGGTCGGGACCGCACGGAGGAGGCTGAGGAGGCGCTGAGGAGACTGACGAGGCGCTGGGGAGACGCCGAAAGAGGCTGACGAGGCGCCGAGGAGACTGGGGAGGCGCTGAGGAGACCGGCGAGGCTGACGAGGCGCTGAGGAGGCTGAGGAGAAGGATCCCCGCGCGCCCGCCCGCCGCCGCCCGGCCTCCCGCGCCCGCGCCCGCCCGCCTCGGTGCGGTTCCTCCGGGTTCGAGCGGCGGCCGCCGAGGAGCCCTCCGCCGGCGAACAAAGAGGAGGCCGGCAGGGCGGGGGCGTCTGCGGCGAGCATGGCGGACCGCAGCCTGGAAGGCATGGCCCTGCCGTTGGAGGTGAGGGCCCGGCTGGCGGAGCTGGAGCTGGAGCTGTCGGAAGGTAACAGCAGCCCCCCCCCTCCGCCCCGCGCCCGGGCCTGGCCGGGACACCGCTTCTGTGGCGCGCGCTCGGGCCCCCGCGGGCCGGGCCGCGCTGTCACCCCGGGGAGGGCGGGCGCGCGGGGCCTGGGGGCGGCCCCGGCCCCGACCCTCGCCCGGGCCCCGAGAGGTGGCCCCGGGGGCGGGTGCGTGGATGTGTGTGCGCGTGTGCTTGTGTGTGCTCGCGTGCTGGTTTGTGGTGTATGTGTATGTGTGTGAGAGCGTGTGTGTGTGTGTGTGTGTGTGTGTGTGCGTTCGCGCGCGCGCGGGTGCGTGGCCGCGGCCCCAGCCCTCCAGGCTCAGCTGGCGCGGTGCAGCCGCGATGCCCTCCTGAGCGCTGCGGCTGGGCCGGGGGCCTCTGGGCTAGGAAGCAAGATGGAGCGACCTTTAGGGCCGCCGGGGAATGGCCTTGGTGGGGATGTGCGCTCTGCCCTAATGGAGAGACTCGGCGCCCTTGATGCAGCTGCACCGGCAGCAGCAGCAGCTGCAACACCAGCAGCAGCAGCAGCAGCAGCAGCAGCAGCAGCAGCAGCCGCCTTGAGCTGCCACCACGTTTCATGCTTGGGGGCGGCCTCCGAAGGGCCTGATTTGAATGCGAAACTTGTCAGTGGACTTCGGGATTGGATCTCTCCGAGGTTGCAGGCACACGGTCCTGTCAGCGGGAGGAAGATAGTAGTACTATTGTTCGGGCGTGTGGTGTGATGTGCTGGCTGAGTTAGAGCTGTAAAACCTCCCCCCTCGGGCCAGGTTGGATGCCTCATTCCACCGTGTGGGATAGAGATATTCACAATGTGCGGCTGCTCTGCTACGTGATTTCAGGGAGGGTTTATATACCGTTCTGTCTTTGCTCTTTCATGGTGGACATCATGTGCTCAACTGTCATAAGTTTCAGCTCGGGTTTTGTAGGTTCTTTTTTTCTTTCCCACTAAATTCACAAAACGTGTTTAATAAAAAAAAAAATTAGCGGTCATCCCACTCATTTGAGAAGGCTACAATGTAATGGTGTGGGGAGAAGCTGTCTCCTTTTGAGTTAGTGTTTGGAGCAGTTTAGCATTATTATTATTATTATTTGTAACGGTTTTTGAGGGCCAGCAGCCAGAACGTAAATTCTTTCGTGCCAATTTTCATCAGCGGGGAGGAGCTGGTGTTGACTTTGTGTTTTCCCTTTTAACACTTTCAGGGGGAAGGACATAAACGTGGTGGCTGTGGTGTTGCTTTCGTTACCAGATTTTCATAGATGGGGCATTTTCTTATATTCCAGATTTGGGGTTCCATAAGGTGTTTTGGGGGCCGGTCGTGGGACACACCAATGGAAGGAAAAAGATAGTGTGTCTCAGACTGTGCTTCCTTGCCTCTGTTTTGACCAGCTAGAGATGACGATGAAAGAGTATCTCTCTTTCCTAAGAGGATCCTTAGGCAGAAAGTGCAGGGTTGAATTTAACAGAGAACAGTCTTTAGATTTAAACTGGCAGATGAAATGTGTACTGTGGACAGTTTATCCCTTTTAAGTAGCTATGAGGAAACATATTTGCATTCTTTCAACCTTTTAGTTAGACTCTCTTCCTCAGTTTACCAGCTCTGTTTTATTTTCTGTATCTTGTTGTATTTACAGAACTCCTTCCCATTCATGCTCTGACTCAAAGCAAGCACTTCTACTATGTTTGCATTACATAAATGTGATGTGTCTGTTCTCATCCTTACTTGAAAAGTGAGAAGCCATCTGAACTCACCAGCATTGAGTGCTTTCGCAGGATCTGCTGCTCCCTGCCTACTGGGAAGTCAATTCTCATTTACTCTCAAAGGCTCAGCTAATGCCTGGAAACACAGATCTTGCCCTCCCCTTGCTGAGAGTGGCTGTCTATTTTGTTTTTAGGTGACAGCAGTCACCTGTCATCATCATTTACTCTTGAAGAGTGAATGTTAACTTCTTGCTGCCCAGAGACATACGGAAAACCACTTTAGATGAGGTGTGCTTAGCTAAACTCCCGTTAAGCACCTTATGCCTGTATAGAACTTAAAAGACTTAATGAGTTTTTTGGTGAATGGGTCGGCTCAGAGGAGTGTGTATGTATATTTTCATTCAGAAATATACATCCTTTATTATTTTCTTTTTGTATATAAGCTATGTTTGAGACCTGACCTAGACTTTTAAGAATTAAAAAAAAAAAAAAAAAAGGCTGTCACTTTGTTCAGCCTTTGCCAGTCCCTGGAACCTGCTCAAGCCCCCCTCCCCCCATCTATTAGCTGTACCACCTTTGATTACAAAGTGTGGCTTTGATGAGTTTTTGGAGTTGTGATTTATAAAAGGTCATTTGAAATTTCATATCTTATAACCAAAAGGATTGTTTTTTTGGAAGAGATGAATCTACTTGTTTTCTAGTATTGATATTCTAGTATAGAAACCTAGGAGTTGAAGGATCAGGATAATGTGTCTCTTTACACTTCCCTAACTGGGGAAAAAAAAATCCCACAACATATCTACTTTCAAAGTTTTCAAAGTGAAAACTTAGAATGACTCCCCCCCCCCCCCAACAGGGTTTTCTCTGTGTAGCCTTGGCTATCCTGGATTCACTTTGTAGACCAGGCTGGCCTCAGACTCACAGAGATCGATCCACCAGCCTCTGCCTCCCTGAGTGCTGGGATTAGGATGGCTTTAGGATGATTTTTAATGTTGAATTACTTTAGTGTACTACTTTCCCAGTATATTTTCCACCAAAGTCAGTATGGAGAAAATTAAGTTCCTTGCCTGTATATACTTTTAATCCCAGTGCTCAGGAGACAGGGCAGGCAGATCTCTGTGAGTTCTAGGCCAGCCTGGTCTATGTAGCAGATTCAAGGCCAGCCAGAGCTGGTTGAATGGAAGAGTTGGTTATCATTTTATTTATTCAAATATCAGACTATCAGAAAGTGTTGTAGGAAAAATACGTGGAATTTCCAGGGCTCATTTTCTACAGAGGAGGATGAAAGAAAATTCCATTTTAATAACAAACAAAAAATTAAAAAAAAAAAAAAAAAAAAAAAACCCAGACTATTAAAGTTTTTGTAAATGGGTTGTAAATTACCTAGATTTATACATACTGGTCCAGTTTGAGTCTACCCTCTACTGGGTGCTGTTATATATATTGCTGCTGTTTTTATTTGGTTGGATTATTGTTTAGCTAATAAAGAGTTATACATTGGTATCTTGGCTGCATACACACACACACACACACACACACACACACACACATATATATTTAACATTTCTTCTTTGTTGTGTCTTCCCCCTTTTTTAGCCTCTGTCACTCCTCAGTGCTTCCTTCACTAATAAAAGCTAGGCTTTGCTTACTGGTATAGAATCTTGTTAGCAAAACCCAAGAGATTTTTGCAGGAGGTTTAAGGTGCAGCTTCTTATATTGATTCAGACAGCCCTGGGCCTACATGTGTGGAGATATTCATTGTTGTGGGGCCAAGGATCTTGGATCTTTTCAGACTTGGGTTTGAAAATGAGCTGGGGAGGAAGGCATGCCAGAGCTGGCCCTGTGCCATGCCAGGTAGGGCAGTGATGGAATTGTGCTGGGGCCTTTTTTCCCCCCTTAGATTATTAAAACAAACAAACAAACAAAGAAAGAAACACAACAGCAACAAAAAAACAAACAGAAACCCTTCTATTCTTAACTTTTACACATTTTTTTTTTTCTTTTTGGCTTTAAAGAACCTAGACATAATTTCATTAATATGTGATTAAATATTATTTGACTTAAGGAAAAAAGTTTATATAGGAACAGCAAACAAATTAGAGAAGGAAATAGAAAACATGTTATAAAAACAGACTCATGTTTTATTAATGAAAAAAAATCATTTCTTGTCAGCCTTTTGGCTATGATCAAGTATAAAAAAATAATCCAACTTAGTTACTGACTGATGTGTCAGTAGGTTTCTTTGTTACCTGGTGACTTGTTTCCTGGGCTGTGCCTTCATTGGCCTTGGAAGAGTGGAAGAAGGTTCTTCCTACTCTTTCATTTTACCTTGTTTTGACACAGGGTCCAGGCTAGATGTGAATTCCCTAGGCAAGTAAGGATGACCTTGAATTTTTGATCTTCTTATTCTTACTTCCCCAGTGTTGAGATTACATACATGGACTACTATGCTCAGTTTATGTGTTGCTGGAGATTGAAAACTGTTTGTTAGGCAAGTACCTTACCAACTGACCTACATCCCTAGCGCATCGGTTTTTGTTTTTGTTTTTTTTTTTAATAATGACGTGGCATCTCATTGTGTTGCTGTGACTTGTTGAACTTGGATGGTTTTAGCCATTCTGCCTCAGTGTCTCAAGTAGCGAAAATTTTAGGTGTGTACTACTATGCCTGGTTAGGCTTGACTTCTTTTTTTTTTTAATTAATAATATAATTTTTATTTATGACAATTTATTCACTTTGTATCCCAGCTGTAGCCCCTATCCCTTTTCCCTCCCAATCCCTCCCTCTCTGCTTCCCTCATCTCCTCCGATGCCCCTTCCTCAGTCCACTGATAGGGGTAGGGTTGACTTCTTACTTTTACAAAATTCAGTAAAACTGCCTTGTGATGTAGCCTGCAAAGGGTATCTAGTTTTTGTAGAAGGGGCAGTCTTAAAAAAACCATACTTGCTGTGCTTAAACTTCATTGCTTTTAAACTGTTAGCATCTACTATCTTTGTAACTTTCTCTAATGGGAGTTGCTTAGTTTATACTTTGCTTTATTAACACTCCGGATTACTTCAGTTATTACTTATGCTCAAAACGAGTCCTGTTTAGCATTTTTTTCCCAGTACTTGAAAGTGCTTCAGGAAAATGGTGAAAAGACTACTTGAATGTCAGGTCTTTCTGTATTGGTCAAGGAATCAATACTGTTTTGTTTTTAATGCACTCAGGCAGGCCCATGTAACTTGCCTACTGCTGTAAAAAAGGTAGATTCTTAAAGCAGTGGCTATCCAAAGGTTTGGTA